TGCAGTCTTAAAGAACCGACGCAAGTAAACCTGCGGAGCTGGCTGATTAAAGTCGGCTCTGCGAAGCCATCAGCGATCATCGCGAGCCGGCGATGGTCGGGTTCAGACGGCGGTTTATTTGAAATATGGTCCCGGACTCGGCGCGTTAAACAAATAATTAGCGCTGAGTTTGGTTGCTCGACAGGTCAGTCTGAGGTCAGAAGGCGTATCGGGGGTTCTACTTTGGCTGTCTGAAACCGTGTTTATGACCCTATTGACTGGTGATGGGAGCCTCGACTCTCTTTCCAACGGTTCGATTGCGACAGGGGAGAGCGCTTGTTTTTTTCTGGCCATGCTTATTGCACGAATACGTAATTGCGGAATTGTCCCGACAAAAGGTCCAACAAAACAATTTTTTTTCTTGTCTTCGATCCCGTCTGCAATCCTAAGCAAGCGAAAGCCAACAGCTGAGAGATATTCAAGGGAATCTAAATCGGTTTTATTCGTATAGCACCAACTCACAGCAAAAAGTCATCCAGTTCATTGAGATACATTCGTAATCCAAACAATTCCGGTTCCAAGGAAGTCCAATTTTTACTGGGCCAATTAAGAAAAAATGTTTTAAAGCAAAAAAAGTTTAACTTTGATCCAATCCAGACGTTGATAACAACAATAATGTGACATATATATGAAAAAAAAAGGTTACAACATTCCCACATCGAAATTGTGCCTATGTCTATTGTTAGATGCTGTCTAATAAAGTATTTTAAACTCACAAGGGAATCAAAAAATGGATTCTGAAGTTTTCGGTGTCCGTAGAAGATTTCGTGCAGTCACAATTAAGAGAATGAATCAACAAAATGAAGTGATATCATTATAAAATCTTTGTGATTTGGTGAAAATGATCTTGCTTCTAAAACCGATAACCCTGATTTACTATGACCCAAATGGGACATTTCTTCATATCACGTCCAGCTTGAGTCTCAAAAGCAGTGGTCACTTATTGAAGTATGTTCTATCCAACAGGTGCTGCTTAAAATAAGATAAAGAAAGAAAGAAAATGCCTCCTTTCTAAGCATTTTTCATGCCAACGCTTCTCCGGCCCGTTGCGTTTCACGTTCCAACCCATAACACGGTTCATTTTTAGAGGCCGTAATCACGGGGGGGGGGGAGACAGTTACAACTATTAGCGCTAGATTGAGAGAGATTTCCTTCATAATAAACTCTTTTTCCTACTCCATAATGGCGGCCATTACCCGAGACGCCTCGCCGTCATGGCCGATCCCCCCCTCCCCCGGACGCGTGAGTGTGTTTGTGTTTATGATTGCGAATGAAACAATCATCGGGCCAACGCAAACACAGCTGTTTTATTGTCGCCCCGCTCAGATGCGCTTCCACTAACCAGACGGTGTGTGTATGTGTGTGTGTACACCAGTGTGTGCGATCGCATGGAGCAAAAGTGTGACCCCCACCTCCTGTTCTACCGCTCCCATCCTCATGAAAGAGCCTTTGCGGCCCTAGATTTTTTCACAGCATACCCCTTTTGTCTTTGTTGCCATATATATATCTACATATATATATATATATCTCTGTTGGGTTATTTGAGTCTTTGAACGCATCGTTATTCGAGCAATCTGTGCTACCGCATGCTGCATGCTAGCAAAAACTCCATGGCTTTCCTTGTGTGGGGGAATCCCTGGACAGCTGGTAGATGTAAATCCGAAGAGCCGATTTCCCCCGAAAGATCTTCGACTAAAGGCAACCGCGGGGGTCGGTCCTTATCCGACCTGGGAAGGGATTCGCATTTCATCCGTTCGGTAGTCAAGAAGCCCGTTGAAACATCTTTGAAATCTATCAAGTCCAGTTGCCTTGATTCCTGCTTTTTGGGAATACAATGAATGAGAACCTACAATATCACCAAGACCAAGGTCCTTAGGTTCTTAACACAAACCCCCCCCAAAACAGATCTGGAGGAGAAATGATGTGTAGTAGATGTATCTAATAATGATATTATTACCTTTTTTTTAGCTTTCTAAGCCGTATCATACCTGAATTTGAACTTTCGTCCGATTGTTCAACCGATTGTTCAACCAATAAACCAACATTTACTCATTTACTTGAGTTTAATAGCAGCTTCTGGCCTTTTTCAGAAAAGTCCGCCACAGGTCAGCGTCCATGGTTGGTAATGGGTCAGTTAGTCGTTGTAGCCATTGGAAGAGGGGCATCTTGTGCGTTTGGACATTTTAGAGTTGGTTCAGAGGACTGAAATTAGGTTTTTTTTAGACAGGAAACTGAAAAGACATGGATAGAATAATGGGGCGGTGTTTTTTAGTGATGGAGGTGATGGGCAGAGGAGCATTGTAGGGCAACGAGGGCAGGCCGTTTCTCTGTGTGCGCTAGTACCTATGTCTTTTTGTGTGTGTGTGTGTGTGTGTGTGTGTCTTTGTACTGGCTAATCTAAGCGTCAGCAGCTTTTTGAGGGCTTTTGTGCTGACAATAATCACACGGCGCTCCTCTTTTCAATTCATCAGCAACAACAACAAGGGATCACATGTCTGTCCCCCACCCCCCACCCCCCTCTCCTGAATCAAGCGAGGGATTGGACGGAGTAAAAAAGTGGCCATCCCGTTGCCTGGTTACAGTTTGGGGTTGATGGCGAGCTGATGTGTGTGTGTGTGTGTGTTTGTGTGGGTCAACGCCCCGTGCACTCCAGTAAAAAGAGTGGGACCAAATTCACAAAAAAAACGAAACCGGTCATCATTTCTTCTTTCTTTTTTTGTTGTTTTTTCTTCTTTTTTTTCCTCAAAGAATAATTTATTTCATGTTGCAGTTCGATGGATAAACAATGAGTAAAACCACTGGTCAGATCTGTTGCAAGCATTAATAATCTCCAGGATAACATCAGTCTTGATAATTGTTTCTGTTATAAATAACAATGTCATAAAGATCAGAGTCATTATTACATCTATACAAGCTACAAATGTTAGCATTTTTCCGTGTGTTGTCGTTTTTGTTTTTTCTGCTGCACAAATCTTGAACTTCATACATCACATGGCTCATAATGCCGCCCCATATAGCCAATCAGAGCACAGGATTTTTTAACCATCATTGATAAAATTGGGACTCGAAGCCTCAAAGAATGAAAAAAAGTTACACAAGTATAAATCTTTGTGCGTAAACTGTCGACATTAAGCAATTTGTAAATCAATAATGACTAGAATAATGCCAAATTTGATTGAAAATGACATAAAACAACGACATTACTTTAGTCTGCAACAGAATTAAAACACAAAAAGACACAAAAAAAATCCAAATCCTATAGGCGCAGCAGTCGTTTTCACCAGTTTGTAATACATCAGTGCTTTATTTGGAACATTTCACAATTACAATTTCTAAATTAGAAAAAAACAAAACAAAGCAAATGGGTGTAAAGAAAGGCCAAACACAGCATTTTAAGGCCGCATCAATGCCGTGAATCCATTAGAGGAGAAGTCCTGCCTGATGTGTAACACATATTTTTCACATTTTTTAAATAAGATATTCAAAGGGACTCAAATGTAGCAGAAATTAGGTTAAAATGCCTTTTTATGGTAGTAGTAAGTTTTTAAAAGACATACAAGATGCATAATGTGGGAAGGAAATTGTTATTCGAATTAGAAAAAGAACATTGGACATTTTCTGGAAAAATAACTTTTTTTTTTCCAACGTAATTTGTCTTCATTTTTTGTATCGGCCTGCTGCTTTATTCCTGATGGAAAAAAAGTTATTGCTTCATCCTGACGTCAATTCTTTTTTCTCTTTTTTTCAAAGAAAAAATTTGGTCGAATTAGGTTAATTTGACCGCAATTTAACCTTTTTATTGTTAGAAACCGCTGGCGCAAAATGGAGAAAACAGCATATATGAGATGAGATCCATTTACCGTTGGAAAGTGAAATTATGTTGTCATTTGCAGACCTTTTCCTCTGAATTGAAAAACAAACATTATACCGGGTAATTCTGAGAATTGAAAGAAAAAAAAACTTTTATTGACTTACTTCTTTAAGAATACAAATAATAAGCGTGAGTCAATCCCGATAAAGACGTTGCAAACAATGCAAAGGTCAATATCCTCTTGTCTTCTAGAATCAGGAGGTTGTACGGGCGGTCAATGAGGGGTGGGGTCAGGAGAGGCCACACAGTCAAAACTGACACTCAGTCTCAGTACAATACAAGGAGAGTGAAGTAAAAAGACAGGGGAAAGTAAGAGAGAATACACAATTCTTTCCTTTTGCCCAGATTTCTTGGGTTACGGTTACGGGAATGCTACTGTGCTTCACTATTTAATTGTATGACCATATATGTGTGTGTGTGTGTGTATATGTGTGTGTGTTTGTGTATGCGTCGGGTCTGAGGGGTTCATATAAGAGAACATTTAAGCTTATACAAAGGAGAAAAATACAGAAACATCACTTCTTTTTTTTTTTCCAAAAATTGTCCAGGTAACTTAAAAACGATCACAATAAAAACATTTTATATATTATCTTCTTTATTTTTAAATTCCCCCTGCTGACCGGGAGGTTCACAGGTTGCCCGCACCCCTGTTGTCCTCGTCGCCTTTCGAAATTCCTCGCGGATGCGGAAGAGGAAGTCTTGATGCGTTGGAGGAGAAAGACACAGTCGGGGTTTTTTTCGGCGACGCTCGTAAAGAGCTGAATCTTCTTCCCACCGTTTTTCCTTTTATTCCACAAAAGTCCCAACTTCATTGATCAATCGGAGTATCGACGGACTCGGAATCTGAGCCCTTTTTGTCATGTTAAAGAGGGAAATCGTTTAGTAGTCGAACGTATCGAGGGCAGTGCTGTCTCTAAAATGTCAAAACGTTCTTGCTCGAAGTGGTAGAACCACGTCAAGACCTCTTGATCTTGTAGGTGATCATTGAACACCTACAAACCCATCAGATCAGACCTCAACGAAGCCTTCACAGTCTTCTAACCGTCCTCGGGGGTTTGCCCCGCTTGCTCGGTTCCCTCCCGTGCGCTAGTCAGTCGTGGAGGAGCTCTTGGAGACAGTTTGGGGATTTGAACACCTCGGGAACCTCGCTGTCCAGTTTGCAGATCACCTTGTAGATCGCCTTCTTCCAGGAGGGGTCCGCGTCCTTACCGGCAACGATGGCGTTGAAGAATTCTCGCAGGGTCACCTGGGCCACCTCCAGAAATCGCTCAGGAACCTAAAGGGGAAAAAGAGGAGAGCGGTCACAGCTGGAACTTTTTCCCCTTTCTTGCCTTAAGCATTGCAAGTGAGGTCAGAACTGCCACGTCTGTATATACCAATGCTTTGACGTTAGAGACCTTTTGGCCTTTTCAGTAGACTTAAGCGCAAGAGTCTACGGACTTTAGTTTAGTCAGACCTGACACAAATGCGTCAGAGACGCGGTTGGTTTAATCTGGTGGTATCTATCACTCTGAAACTACAGAAGTGGTTTCTGTACACAAGCACGTGCGAATAGACCTAAAGGAAACAAGTACAAGTCACCACACTCTGGCATGAAACCGAAATTGTACGACTGTACAAACTGAAACCCGTATTTGGACCTTTCTTGCCACATCCCTTAGTATTTTATCACCAATTGACGCAAAACTCTTTTCTATTCATATTAACTCACGGTTTTCATGTATGAAATCCCTCAAACATGATAAAAAACATGATAAAAAAAGATAACACAATATAAATGTAGTTATTTGTTTACAGTTTTACGTTAACCGACCGATAGAAGTGATGTTTTTGAGCGCTTCCTGGGGAATAAAGACAGAAAATGGTCCGAACAGAGAGCAACCACAGAGCATAAACCCATTTGATAAACCCAACTGAGGCCACGTTTTTCAGATTGTAACTGTCTGCGAGACTGAGAGCGACAGTGAATTAAGAGTGTGTGTTTCAGGTGTCCATTCATCACCGTTTCTGTAACGGTGGCTCCTCGGAAACTTCCCTTTAAACGCACTTCCTCTTTCTGTGTAAACGGTGTTGCGGTTCCCCTTGTGCGCGCACGGAAGGCCGACGCAGTCGTAGACAATGGCAGATTGACGGCTGTAAGGGATCCGTCAGGCTCTGTGTCTCTGTCGGTCGGCAAGAACGAAGGGATACCGGGGAATCCGATTGTCCCTTTTTCTGACGCGGGCATAAATGTCCCTTCATCAAAAAAAGCTTTGTCTGCGTTTCAAAGTATGCGTTTCACGCTGGCCGGCACATTTTCCCTCTTTATTCCGCCTTCGCCCATTGGCAAGATCATCCAAAGACGCCGCACACATCCGACCGCGATATCCTCCCTATTTGTTTTTTTTTTTAACCTTTTTTTTTTTACGACCCCCGAACGCCTCTTCCTTTTCGCCCAAACAAAGTCGGAGAACGGCGGACGGGTGTCTGAGCGCGACCCTCCCCGTCACACGTGGCAGGACATGGCAAGGTTAGCCGCCACCAGAACGGATGAATTGTTCCGCAGACACACACACGCTAACACACACACAGGCGGTCGACACAACCTAAATGATTCCCCGGACTCTCGTACACTCCGTCTATCCTTTCTCTCTTTTTAGCCGGTCCCCCAAGACCGCTGTTATTTCAATGAGGCCCTCCGTCATTGTCTTAGGGTAGACGCTACCGTGCAAACACAACAGACGTCCTCTCTCAGACAACCGCTTCTAACTTTCCCGGATGATATTCAGGAGGGTACAAAATGGGCACGCAGCCACCGACGCGTTCAAAATTCGTTCTTTTTCTATGTATCTATTTTTCTGGATGTCTTATTCAGACCCCGTGAAGCCGTCACTTGGAGCACTTTCCCCCAACGGTCTTGAAGGAGTTTCCACATGTGCTCCGCACTCGTTGGCTGCTCCTCGCTCCGTGATGCAGGCCAGATGCGGCACTCCATCACTTCTGTAGCAATAGCACCGAGGTGTACTTTGGATTGTTGCTCCGGTGGAAAAATAAGCTTACGTGCGCTTCGGAGAAGGGGATAGTTTACTGGAGCCCAAAGGGAAGAAGGGGGGGGGGGCACGCGGTAAAGAAGTGTCTCGAGTTTTGAATCCATCGTCCAACGTCCGACGTGTCAAGCTAGTCCCAAATACGCAAAAACCTTCCAACTTGCCAATGGAGTTTCACAGCCAAAGTCTCACAGCATTCCCGGAACAGACACAGCTCCTACGAAATGGTTCAGTTATGTTCACGAGGCTCCAGTAAGAGCACTCCTCTCAAACAAAACTAAATCCTTAAAGACAGTCTGCGGCCACTGACTTTCCAAATGCCCGTCAGATTTGTGGATTTCACACATATTCCTGATCATAACTTCAGTTGGCATGCAAGTAAGCCTATTTCTGGTGTTCTATGGGCAGTCTCTAAGAGTTTGCGGGACTCTAAAGGGTTACAACTGGTTGCTTGGCATTGTCTAATTTGTACTAGTAGTACCGCGGGAGTGGGATCTCTAAGAGATCGCTACAAGATCTCCAATCTCCAATCCAGTCAAGCATTGTTTTTGTTTTTGGCTTGAAATTCCAACGCACTCTTTAGCAGGGTAAAAGCAGGATGCTTTTTTTTCCCTCGAATCCTCGAGAGAGAACACTTCAAGGCAGCGTACAGTCACTGCCGACACTGGTATTGAGGACATTTTTGCGAATTCTTGCAAAACCCTGAGATGACCAGACTTAAAAATAACAAAGCGCTACTATCCTTCCATGCTTTTCAGGTTTGCCACGGTTACTTAAGGTTACTTGTTGACCGAAGGGTTTGAAAACACATTGTCAAAGCAAACGGAGGCTTTTTTGAGTAATCAAAAAGAAGGGTCTTGCTACATGGCTTGATACTCGTACCACGAAAGATCACAATACTGAGGATAGATATCAACTTTTGGGGGATTCGCAAGCAACTGTGTGTGTGTGTACATATTTTTCTGGTATCTCTTGGGTAGATGTTTGCCTACAAATACAGATGTTGTGTTTCGTTACAGTTTTTTAAAAGGGTTTATTGAAACACAAACGTGGCTACTAAATATAGCTAAAAAAACACAAATATGAGACCTTTTAGCAAGTTGCTCTATTCATATATTACAATGTAGATATATGACAAGTCTAAAACAGCCTCCTGTGACTTTTGACTCACTAAAAAGCTTTTTTATTTTTTATTTTACGGTAAAACCTTCGTGATTTAAGAAAAACATCAGTTCAAACTGTTTGTGAAAGGCGTGTATTGAATCTCTTTGAACGGATTGGGATGTTGGTTGGAGTGTGGCAACAGCTAAGCTAACAGTTCCAAAAAGAAATGTTTTTGTTGCTATTCCCTTCATGTTCTTGTACTTTTTTGCATTATAACCAATGTTAAATTTTGACAGATTTACAGATGTTCAGATCTCACAACAGCATCAAAGCATGAAAAAACAGCTAAAATAGCAAAAATCTCGAGCTTACATAAGGAAATAAGAGATGGACCGAAGTAAGACTCAGGTAATTTTATTTATTTATTTTTATCATTTCAGATAAAAAGGTCTGGCCTGGTTTTTAATGAACAGATTATTTTATCTTTTTTTTTTCTCCCTTTTGACTAAACGGGAGGACATTTTTTTTTAGATTTTAATCATTAGACCTCAGCCGGTGCCTAAAAGATATCTCCGTAATCTTTAAAAGGCTGCAGCGCACGGAGAGAAAGCCCCAAAGTCAAGATCCCGGTTAATGGTTGCTGTGAAACTGCCCACTGGGACAAATAAAAGTTGAAACCTGAGCTTGATCTTGAAGATGAATGTGCCTTTGAGACTCGCCCTCCCTGCTGGCACACACTCATCTTTTTGTTGTTCAAATCTTCCGGAAGATGAACACACACACACACTCTCTTCTTTTCTTTTTATTTGTGTGTCTTGAAAAAAAGCTACTTTTAAACATATCCCCTCACCAGCATTAATATTAAGACTATTGTTAGTATACTGAAATGAGTCTTTTGTTGCGCTTTTAATGTGAAATGAAGGGTTTTGGAGAATTATTTCTGTGCTATATCTATCTCTAATCCCATTTCGATGTGTTTTTTTGTGTGTTTTTTTTGCAAAAGTCTCGTCTTTTAATTTCAATTCTACGCTGTGAACTAAAAATCGGCTCAAAGACCTTGACACAGAATTGTCTTTGCGCCACTGCCTTCTTCAGAATGATGATCCGTGTGTATTTTTTTTGTTTTTTTTTAAGGTATCGCTACAGCGTCGGACAACTCAAAGTGCTGAAACAAGATTACCGAGAGGACACCGCTGACTCGGGGAGTGAAACACAAGGCGGAAAAGATGAAGCGAAGCCGAGACGATTATACTGTGTGTCCGGCCGGGCTTCGGCTCAAAAACTGGACAAATACACACACACACACGCACACACAGACACGCACTCGGGTCCAGATGCCCAGATTTGTCTGGCCGTCATAAATCATCCCAATAAAGAGATCTAAATTAGGGGCCATCATCAATACAGATGGGCCTGTTTTCTCCGTGAGTGTGTGTGTATGTGTGTGTGTGTTTGTGTGTGTGTGATTAACTCCTGGCCAGAATCTTGATACGCTATCTAGTTGCCAGGAGCAAGATGGAAGGAGGGAGAAGTGGGGAAGAAAAAAGGAGGACGAGGAGGAAAGAAAGACACTTTGTTTCCAGTAAACATAATTCGCATGATTGCTCCGGTTCGGTGGGTAAATATTGGGCCGAGAGGAGGCTCAATTACCGCTCTCTTCACACACACACACACGGACAAACACGCAGACAAAGACAAAGGGGAAGGACAAGAATCTGTAAATCTGTGAATCTCGCTGCCTAACAGAGGCCTACAAGGACAGCCCCCC